TTTGAATAGGATCGTCAAACCAGTATATCTGTCTATCTATGACATGATGTATAATGAATATTTAAAATTTGAACATAATCAGTGAAAGCAAGTCAGAGATATGGCACGAGAACCACATTCATTAATACAAAATGGCCGCCAGTCGGCCATTTTGAATCTTATCTGAAAAACAAAATTATTTGCATCAAGGTCCCATAATGTCTAATGTATATACCAAGTTTGAACAAAATCCATCTGTAAACAGCCGAGAAATCGTTGATTTTTAGGATTTTTTAGCACAAAAATGGCCGCCATTCCGCCATCTTGAATCAGATCGTAAAAAAAAATGATGTGCATCAAGGTCCTATAATGTCTAACGTATATACCAAGTTTGAACAAAATCCATCTGTAAACAGCCGAGAAATGCTTAATTTTGATGATTTTTAGCACAAAAATGGCCGCCATTCGGCCATCTTGAATCAGATCGTGAAACAAATTGACGTGCATATGTATAATATCATGTATGATGTATGTGTGAAGTTTGATTGTGATTGGTCCAGGCACTTCTAAGATACAGATCCGGACGCACGCACAGACGCACGCACAGACGCACGCACGCACACACAGAGGTCAAAACATAAGTCCTCGTTTTCGGACTGCGTCCGAACGGGGACTAATTAACAAGTGAAATATTGGTTTAACAGTTGCCAAAATATATAAATAATACTGACTTGATTGGTTTCACAGATGCCAAAATCAAGGATTTAAATAATATTGACTTGAATGCAAGAACATTAGATGAATTGCTGCAACCATTGGCTGTCAACGAGTCAATGACAAGACGCTCGCCATCGATTAGTAAATCAATGTCGCTGATTTTACGATTGGCAGAAGACAAGATGGTAGTTTACAACTGATGAATGTAATCCAATGTGAAGGGCAGACTATCTTCCAATACAGGCAACAGCTAGTAACAGTTTTCCCACCATATTTGAACTTGCACATGCACCCACGGCTGATAATTTTGTAGGAGTGCGTGTACATATCACACTAATCTGACTTTTACATCAGGGTGTAAACAATTTAAAACTAACGTATGTAGATAAGGGAGGAAACAAGTACAACCCATAGTTGAACCATAGGACAGTAAATCACTTTAATTTTTGTGAAAAATATTTAAAAAATTTGAGAATCAACAAATATAAGAAATTTTTGACTTGGGTACTCAAGACACAAAGTAGCGATTTTCGGAAACATTGTTCTTACAAATGACATTAAATCAACAAAATTCCTAGCCACGTAAATTAAAGAGTTTACAGTCTAGTCACGCATGACCACAATTGATGGATAAAGGAAAAAAATGTTTTATTATTAAACAATAAAAAAGAATGGCAGGAACAACTGCACTAAGCAACATTCCACACACCACTGATCAATTGTGAGTTCCTGTGATGTATGATTTGTAAAGACTTCCACTATGATAAATTGGTGCAACCACACATGATAACAATATGTCTGCCAAGTTTTTCCATCAGTTTTCACAAGTGAATTATTCAAAGCATCTAACATTACAGAATACATGTAAAAGTTTGCCACACCCTTTTTATTGTAACCTACAGTGAACTCATATCAGGACTTCATCACACAGTGCAGTCAGACTGAGGGATATTTGGACATGGCTGTAACCATGGTGACATCAATCACACTGGTGCCAGCAAGCTAGCCAATTGAAACTCAATATTTGTCATAAACAATTCCACAGCTCAGAAATGGTGAGACTCTGTTAACCGATCGTGATAGACAGGACACTTGATCGCAATATTGTATATATTTCAATATTATTTCTGATGAAATAGACAATGCTCTAGTTTTTCAGCTCTAGGTTTCTTGTTTCTAGCAACAACTAAATTCCTAACAGAAATAACAATCATAATTGTTTTTGACACATATAACAGTTGTGCTATCTGAAACCTAACACTATAAATGTCCAATGAGATCTAATTAGATAACAAGACCCCTTTTGCAATCAATCAACAAACGCACTAAAGATGTTATTACTAATGACAATCTCTCTGTAGCAATAGACCCACCCTTTTCAAAACGCATCACATTCTCTGGTCAGAAAGCCAGACTAACACATTTCTATGCATTTGAAGGTAACTATAGCACAGTAGGGAGGCAGTTTCTCAATTCAATGGCTCAAAAAAGAAAAGAAAAAAATGAGCCCCGCCTCTAAAAAGGTTTATCGCTGAGAATTGGCACCAGCTTACTACTTGGAGTCAGGCAACTCGGCACCATGAAATTAGTGTTGTCTCTTTCCCTAACTCACACCAACAATATGACAAGTCACTTCCGTTCTTTTATGCACAGTGTCTTCTTCAGACAAGGGTGTCAGCAAAAAGTAAACTAGCATGTCAGAGAACTAAACTGGAAATTTAACTTGTCAGCTCATTGTGTTGCTTTGTCTTTGCAATGACAGGCAGACTTTTTTTTCAAATTTACAAGTATTAATTTTAAACAACTATCATCAAGGCTGGTAACAACCCAAAAATTTATTTGAAAAAAAAAAAGAAAAAAAAAAGTGATCACTTGTCTATCTTCATAAATATTTTTGATTTAGACATATACAGGGCGAGGCCAAATGGAGAATTTATCAGTATGACCTCATAGACTATGACAGGAAATTAACTCTGAATGGATATACAGCATTAAAAAGCAGCATTCCGCAAGTAAATTATATCCCTAAGTGATTGAGCATCACTCATTCATACCAAATCAATCTACTATACTATACCCAGAACAAAATTATGTTAATAAACAAGAGTGACTCATCTATGCAAATTATCGGGAAATATCATCTTGACCTGAAAACCTTATTAAAATTCAGTTTCCCTTAGCAGGAAAGTGAGACTATGATCCAATTTAGTGCTGCATTTATTATTAATTTACATGAAAATATTAACAATATTACAAATTTGGATGTTTTAAATAATACACATGGATAAGGACCGTTATTAATATACTATTAAACTGAGGTTGCTGCCACATTTGCAAATTGAATTAGATCAGTGATCAACTCGTAATGTTCTAATTTTATTTTTTATGGGGTTTGAATGTTTCCATCCTTGCTTGGTGTGTATATATTAAGTGTAGGGATTTATTTACTGAATAAAGTCACTCTCCCTTGAGGTCAGATGAAAACATTCTTAATGTAAACTGAATTTCCTCAATCTGCCAGTCATTACAGGAAGCTAGTCTAATCCATTCAAGATGACATGTCTGTAGCCGAATTAGTCATCACATCTTCAGTGTGATCAATGTATGTCTATTTTCATCACTAAACACTATAAATTTAACTATGTAGCCGCCCATTCCCACAAGATCTGTGATGTACTTAGGCATTACATTTTTTTTTTCTTCTTCTGAGGGCTATCTTATACAAAGTCTAAATAATAGAGTATACGAGAAAACTGCTATTCTAGAACACAGACACATAGAAGACCCATCCTTAGTGTGTGCAACTGCATTTGGAAAGTGAGCTGAGGAATAGTACACCTCTGGGCAACAAGCAACTTGGTAAAACCGACAAGGAATGAAATAACTGCCACTATCTGTGCATATACAAGTATCTTCTATGATTAAAACATTTCCTAATAAATCATGTCCCGAGAATTTACTACTAAAATTAAATTGCATCACCATAAACAAAATTGGAAAAAAAAAAGTACTATACCCACCAAAAACAATTTGCATAATTACCATATTCAATATTGAAGTCATTGGACGTTGAAATTGTCAGGGATACACTACCACGATTACAATACAGCGTATTATATTTACTATGACAGTGTTTAACATAAATCATGCAGGCTTGCTGACAAAAAAGAGAAAGAGTGAAACCTCATCTGAAAAAATTAATTCTTGAAAATGTTATGACCTAATTTAAAAAACCAAATTAAATCCAATTTTGTTTAAA